GCTGCCGACCGGGCCCCGGGGCCGGATCGCGGCGCCCGGCCGAGGGGCGCGGGGGCTGAGGGACACTTGGTGGCTCCGCAGCGCCTCTTGCGGGACCGTTGTTCCTCCACGAGCTGACGCGGCCCGGACATCTACCAGCGCGGCCTGCACCCTCCAGGGCATGCACCGTCCCTGGCCTGCGCCCTCCGTGGCATCTACCATCCGTGGCACCTACCACAGCCGCCTTTCTGTGGGACAGCTCCTCGCCCCTCGTGCCGTGCTCCCTGTGTCCRAGGCTGTTTGCACATGTGAACCAATAAAATTTGCCTTAATCAGGCATGCCCAAGCTCTCTGGCATTTGACATTATTCCAAATAATGGAATTTGTTGTTGGGGAAATTGTGATAATGGAGGGGCTGATTTCCTAAAAGAAGTGGAACTGTCCCTGGCTGGGGCCTTCCCCAGCTCAGCACTTACGCAGGGACCAGGGTGGCTGTGCCGGCCCCGGCTGTCACACAGCAAAGCCAGGGGAGGTTTTGCTGAACCCGAGGAGGCCGTGGTGTGTCCTGCGAGCTGCCCTCACCCCAGCGCCTCCCCTGCCCCAGCGCTGCGGCCAGAGCCGGGCCCTCCATCCCCGGGAGAGCCCCATTCCCGGCACCATCCCCGGGGGAGCCCCATTCCCGGCACCATCCCCGGGGGAGCCCCGTTCCCCGGCCCTCCATCCCCGGGGGAGCCCCGTTCCCCGGCCCTCCATCCCCGGGGGAGCCCCATTCCCGGCACCACCCCCAGGGGAGTCCCATTCCCCGGCAAGTCCAACCCCGCGGCCTGGGGCCACGGGAACGGGGCAGCATGAGGCTCCAGCCAGGGCGAGGGGCAACCCCAGGCATGCACAGGAACCGACCCCAACCCTCGCCAGCCACAGGACAGAGGAAGAGAACAATGCCAGAGGCTGGATAAATATATGCAAGGAAATATGCAGAGGCCACCCTCCCTAAAATAACATTTAACAAGACTGAACAGCTAAACTACAGAAATGGTGAAATGTGATTTGCAGGTAACTGTGTGGCACCCAGCTGCTGCTATATGCCCATCCAAAGGCTGTTGATGACGTGGAATTTGCTGTTACACAGCATCGCAAGAGCTGTTCTGCCAAACAGCCCCAAATTTTGGCTACAGGGCCTAGGTTGTGCTTGCTTTACTCTTAAATTCACAGCTAACAAACTTTAACAAAAACTAGTATTAGGACTGTACAATCCATATATAAAAAGGGTTGGTTTATTGTAGTTCAAATACATAAACTGAACAATCCCAACATTTCAAAATTAAACTTTAGAAACACAAGTTCAACATTCAAAACAGGAGTATAGTTTACAAGAATTGCCCAGAAGGGAAATCCACAGTCTAATCCAGAAGTATGTAAAGATCACTTTATCGTAAATAAAAGTGTTTGTACAACCGTCCTGTTCTGTTCTGGTAACCACTGTTATTTACCAAGTGTTTCCGACTTTGAGTAAAAATTATTAGACAGATCTTCACTTGGGCAGAGCAACCTGATTTCATTTCTAATTCATGAAACAGGRCAGGGAACAAAGCACATCTGTGAACAAATTTAATTTGGTCTCTGTAGTCCTAATTCTCCTCTCACACAGCTGTAACTCTGACTTTAATGGATTTAGCTCCATTTACAAAGGTGAAAACAGGAAAGAGAATGAGGACTTGTGTTTCCAGAACATGGTCTTGGGTGATCAATAACTGAAGCTCTGGGAGAGCGTCTCACCTCCTCAGCAGGGAGCACGGCCGGGGAGGCTGCGGCTACAGGCACAACCCCCCTGTACACAGGCACGCGCAGCCGC